TCCTTGACAAAGAAGGCCACATCAAGATTGCTGATTTTGGAATGTGCAAAGAGAACATGTTAGGTGACGCTAAAACCAGCACCTTCTGTGGGACGCCCGATTATATTGCCCCCGAGGTAGGTGGGCCTTTGTTCATCCAAAAGTAAAGGACATATAAAGAACAGTTCCTGGAATTGAATATTTCTAGTCTAGTGAAGAGAAGGGGCTACGGCAGTGGTGAAATTCATTTTTTTTTTACTATTGGTTCTGTGGGCATGGCTTGGTGGGCATGGTGTTTGGGGTAGAGCTCCAGACCATCGAATTCCCCCCTCCAAACTCCCATTTTTTCGCTTTCAACCACTTTCATTTCAGAAATCAAATCAGACAAAGGATGACCTTGGCTTTCTAGAAAGAATGTTGTTATGGCTACATAGCATCTAACTCCTTACAATCCCCCCTCCCATTTCCCCACAATAGAAAATGCATGGTAGAATAATCTGGCAGGCCAAAGATGCAAAAGAAGAGATGGCTGCAGGCTTGACATGTCCTATGTTCCAAAACATGCCCCCCATTGTTCTTGGGAACAATGCAAAACGATTAAGGGCTGTGTGCTTAGTACACAATGTACAATAATTATATAACTTGCTTGATTCCAGAGGTTGTGGATGCTCCATCACAGGAGGTGTTTAAGAAGAGACAATTTGTCCAGAATAGTATAGGATTTCCTGCTCAAGCAGTGGGTTGGACTAGAAGACCTCTAAAGGCCCCTTCCAATTCTGTTAAATTTATTCTGGCCATAATTCAGAATGTGAGATTCAGAAAGAATCAGGAGGAGAAAGAAAGAGTTCGAGAATCCTACAAAATTTGGGCCGTTTGTCTTCAGTGATGTTACTGAAAGCTCAGGAGATTTTGATTAATGTCTTGCTAAATTCAGCATTTTTCATGAGACCCTGCAAAATTAAATTGTTCACACCTGAAAAACTGCAAGATTTGGACAAATTGGCGTGGTTTGTGGTCCGTCCATCATCACCAGTAATAAATCCAGTCTTTAGAGGTACTCCTCGACTTACAACCACAGTTAAAATTTCCGTTCCTAAGCACAACAGTGGCTAAGTGAGTTTTGCCCCATTTTAAGACCTTTCTTGCTGCCGTTGTTAAGTGAATCACAGCAGTTCCCTTAAAATCCACTTAACAGCCACGTTACTAACTTAAGAACGGCAGGGATTCATTTAAGAACGGTGGCAAGAAAGGTCGTAAAAGGGGACAAAATTCACAGCGGCAGAAATATCGAGCCCAATTGTGGCCGTATGTTGAGGGCTTCCTGTATTAAAGTGTCCATCCTTCTAACCATTCCTCTTTAAGCTTCCTTTTTCTTTTTTTTTTTCAACTCCCCCTGCCCTTCCCCTGGCAGATTCTTCTTGGGCAGAAATACAACATGGCCGTTGATTGGTGGTCCTTTGGGGTTCTTCTGTACGAGATGCTGATTGGCCAGTCTCCCTTCCACGGCCAGGATGAAGAACAGCTCTTCCAGTCCATCCGCATGGACAGCCCATTCTACCCCCGCTGGCTTGACAAAATTGCGAGGGACCTCTTAGTAAAGGTATGGTTGGGAGAGTCCATTATACCAGAACAGGGGTGTTTCCAGTTTGAATTTCCCATCCAGTTTTGCTCGCCACGATATNGAAAGAAAGAAAGAAAGAAAGAAAGAAAGAAAGAAAGAAAGAAAGAAAGAAAGAAAGAAAGAAAGAAAGAAAGAAAGAAAGAAAAAGGGGAGGGAGAAAAAAAAGAATCGGCTGAGAAGCCCCCAAATCTGGTCTCTCTTTGAGGCGTCCTGCGGCTCTTTCCTACCAGAAAGGCATCGATTTCCCCACTTGAAAAAACTTGAGGCCATTCAAGTTTAATTTAATGAAGCCAGAGATGGAGTAACCTCTGAATGAGCCGTGGGTACCTCTCTTGGTCTTCTTAGACACGTCAGGGTCACCTTTGGAAAGGAGCTTTCCCCAAAAGCCCAATCAGGATGGTTGAGTAGGTTTTCTTTAAAATATATATATATATTTCTAAGGATCTGCATAGCGGAGCTGCAAGACTCAGAGGAATCGTCTAGGTAATGTACGATGTTAATAATTTGCAGCTGCGTAGGAGGCCTATAATGGAATCTGGAAGGGTGATATATAGGGGATCAGTAATTTTGGAGGATGCTGTACCTGTAGGACTTGTATAGGATTGCACTTTTTCAATGCGTCAGCTTTCTTACTTTGTGTAGTGCGGTAATTGAGGCATAGTAAAATTACAGTGTACTCTAAGGCTGCACCATAATTTAGCCACAGAGCTAAAACATAAACCATTACTTCCAAGTTGTGGGAATATTTTCTGCTGGTTTTTTTTGAAAAATGAAGATGAAGTTTAAAATTTGCTGGATGGATGTACAGGTTAATGCATTGAATAGTTATGTGCAGGGGCTGTTTCTCTGAAATTGTTTGAAGTTTGGCATCTGTTGAGAAAGTCCATAAAATATGTTACATTTTCTGTTTACAGTGTCATTGAGATACATTCTCAAAATGTTGCTACAATTATTCTAAGGTAGCTCTTTTATTATTTAAGAATTCCTAGCTATGAAGGGAGCCTCATTTTTTATTTCTATAGATGAAGTCAGTTCATGGGAGGTTTTATTGGTAAAACCAATAAAGTAGCAGTTTTACTGCATTAGTGTCACTTCTATTTATTTATATTCAGAGGGAATAAACCCAACTGGAGTTCATTGGGACCTATTTGCAGTAATAATACCTAAAATTGCAGCCACTTTAGATCAAAACCTTTTACTTAATTAATTTAGCAGAATTTAAATTCTAAGTGGACCTAAAGAATTGCATTGTAAACATTTATATGTTAAATATACGAAGAAGCAGCATATTGTATATTTTCTATAAGGACTCTGTCAATTCTTTCTCAATTCTCCAGTGAATGATCAGAATGGAAAGCTATACCCATAATAAAAAAAAATAGCTGCATAACACATAGAAATAACTTTTTTATTCTGCATAACTCATAGAATAACTTTTTATTCAATATATTTTTCAGTTTGAGACAGTGCTACAACACTCACTTTCACTGTTTAATGTACTTTGGCTTATTGGAAAATCTCTCACAGAGGAAACAACAGCAGATATTATGGGACGTTATTAGAAACAATATAATTACTTTATAATCAAATCCATCATTATAATACTTCTGACTTGTAGATGGTGAATTTTCAGGAGCAGAACCTATTTCGACTCAGAACCTATTTTGGTTATGCAGACAGATTCACATCTTTTAACCGAGATAAAGAACATGTAAAATTGGCTTCTGTCAGTATTTTACTTTTGCTAAATCATATTTTGCTATTATGTAACAGAAGACCAAATTGATACAGGAGAGAGTTTTAATGTTAAAGATGATAAGTCTTTGCTTAAATATTTCTATACATATATATTTCTATATGTCTGCTAGACAGATTAGATGCTATCCATACATCATAAAGTACAATCTGTAGGTCAAAATTTTGAAATAATAGCTTGTCAAAATCTGAAAATATAGTTTATAGATTAGCTTCTTATCTTCATTGGATCTGATTGAATGCTTCTGCATTTCTATTAAACTAGAATTATATTTCAATACAAAAAAAATCTAGAACCCATTCATTCTTTGTTCACCTAAGAGCGAGGGAGGAAAAATCTGTACAATATATGGCACTGCCCTTGGCCCTTTGAAACTAGTTAATGTTATTAGATGGATTTAGAACTCTTTATAATTAGGAACAGATTCATAGTTGCCTTTTTATTTACATTTCAAAAGTAAAATAGTGAACTAAATGCAATCGAGGTTGGTAGAATTCAAGGGAACAAAATAGGCAGCAGAAGCATGGAGTCTGATGGAATGATTGTGATTATACGATTAAAATTAGGTGCCACAGTAAGAGAGGAGACTGAGAAATTCCTCTTACTGGTGGCACCTAATTTTAATTGTACAATCACAATTATTCCATCAGACTTCAAGGCACAGGATCCCTCCTCGGTTAGGAAGTGTTTACACATTGAAAGAAACCAATAGCTAGTCATTAGGCATAAGAGTATTGATATTATGCAGCAATAAATACTGTTGTGTCCAATATAAAAATCTCATGCCCCAGAAATGTTCTTTTAGGCAGCTCAATTATAAAGCCAAAGAGGGTGGCCTTTGCCTATTTATTTATTCTTCCTATCTTATGTTCATCCTCTTGAAACCTCCGTTGCATATGGATCAAACATCTGGCGTCTTCACAAATTGGCTTCTTCACAAGGGTGCAGAATTTTATGCTCCTAATTTCTTATGCTTATTTTTTTTAAAAAAAACATTAACATCTAATTAGAGTACTTTGATGAAATTAGACTTCTTTTTAATGAGATTTTTATTAATTGTGGAAAAGTTTGGAGCGGCACAGACATATTCAGGTAGAGATTCAACACATTTTCTTCCTTTTCATTCTTGTAGGAGCTGGTAGATAATTCCTGGGGGGGATAGATTCACACAATATATATTAAAATATTACTGTTTGTTGTTGTTTGCTACTGAATTATTTGTGCAATCTTATATCTCTACAGTTTTATGCTGTACATAGAGAATTAACAAATGAAGGCAAATATAAGTGTCTCAGGATAATTTTTCACGATCCAATTTGAACAGGTCACTATTTTTTTTAATGTTTTATTTATTTTATTTGTATAACATCAAATTTCCATCAAAACAGTATGTGATCTGAGTAGAGTTATTTTTAATCAATCATAATCCACATATTTGTTGTAGAATTCATCACAATAATATTGATAATATAATAATATAATAACAATGATACTTAACATTTTTAACAACTCTCCACATTAATATTTCCTCTTTTTATGTCTCCTATCTAACTTCTGTTTCTGTTGTCTATTGGTAAAATACATCCCATATCAAAAAAAGTTTCTTCTTTATCCTTAATAGTAAGTCTTAATTTATCCATTTCTATGCATTCTAATATTTTCTTAATTACATTATCATTTGATGGAATCTCATCGTTTATCCATTGCTGATGAGAGAGAAATTCCCCGAGGAGGGGCTCCAGCACAAGTCCAAAAGCTGGAAAGATTAAACCCCTCATCCTGGTGACTGACCCAGATTGGATCCTGCAATTAAAGCTGTGAAACAAAGACTATTCTCAAAACACAGAGAGACGCATAATGTGTGTCTGATTTCAGTTTTTAAATGGTCATGCATTCATTTTAACACTGACTTTATTGGAAAGAACTGCCGATGATTTAGAAATACAATTAGATCAAATTAGTCATGTCTTTTTCTGTGAAGTTTGCTGTTTACTTAGTTAAATCCTCACACATATGACAAGTTCTCAAAAGCAAGTTTTGTTGGGGGTCAAGAAGATTTATCTAAGATAAACACATAAAAGAAGTAGAGTTTAATAACAAAACCCTATGTTACTGTTTATATTAGCTTCTTAAAAAAGAGCATGAATATTTTCCTTTTCTTTGTTCATGGCTGAGCTTATGTGGTTTAGAACTTACAGTCCAATACCGCAACAGCAAATTATTTAGCTTTTCTTTTTGCTATTATGCTATAGATTTTCAATGCTGCCCTGTGGAATTCATGACTAAAAAACAGGACCATTATTTATGCTAGCAAAGCCATATAAGAATTATTTTGTAGATATGTAATTAATAGGAAACAACCAAAGTCTGTTTTTAATTACATAAATGTGCATAATAAGGAAAGAGACCATTTTTTCCAAAACTGATCTTGAGCTTCAGCAAATAAGCAAAAATGTTTAGTGCAGGCAAAGAGAGATACTTACTCTATCCTAATCTGGACATTGTTTAGACAAGCCTTCAAAAACAGGTAAAACTTAGTTTTGAAGTCAATAAATAAATAACAAATAGTTCTTGGTAAAACACTGAGTTTGTCGATCAGAAAGGTCGGCAGTTTGGCGGTTCGAATCCCTAATGCCACGTAACGGAGTGAGCTCTTGTTTCTTGCCTCAGCTTTTGCCAACCTAGCAGTAGAAAAATGGGAACCACCTTTGGTGGGAAGATAACAGTGTTCCGTGTGCCTTCAGCGTTGAGTCATGCCAACCACATGACCATGGAGATGTCTTCAGACAATGCTGGCTCTTCGGCTTTGAAATGGAGATCAGCACCGCTCCCTAGAGTCAGGAACGACTAACACATATGTGCGAAGGGAACCTTTACCTTTTCCTTTTTAGTACTTGGTAAGAGATCTAGGAAATTTATTTCTAGCCTTAGTTTCTCCAGTAAAGAGGCACTAATTTTTTAGTAGCCTGTTATATCAAGCCTATAGCATTATTTTTGCGTGACCCGTCAAAACCGCGTTCCACAAAAGCGCGGTCGACGAAATCGCGTATATGACGTCATCACAACACAATGAAAAAGATCGAAAAATTGAAATAAAAATTAAATT